TCTATTATTGTGTGCCACAGGGTGAAGAAAAAATAAATCCCAGTTCTTTGTTTGGATCCAGTTTAAACTTCAAACTACCTCCAGAAGAATTGTCAGACACAATCTGAAAAAATGCTGGAAAAAGAAAAGCGGGGCAAATGGTCAGGTACTACAGATAAAAGCATAATTAACAGAATACAAGAGACGGAAGAGAGTATCTCAGATGTTGAAGCTACACTAGGAGTAATTGATTCATCGACCAAAAAAATCTTAAGTCCAAAAAATCCCTCTTCCACAGATAGAGAGTCTGGGAAACAGGAAAGAACCTAAAAGATATGCATATATGCATAGTACCCAAGAGAAGAGGATGGAGACAAGATCCTCTGAATGGATGGGGAACATGGCTAGGGGTGGGGGGGAGTGGGACCTGGGAAGAATAGAGAGGGTAAAGAGGAAGGGAGTTGGTCATGGGGGAACAGGAAGTTGAGGGGTTGGGGGTAGAATAGGGGGAAGAGGGAATCATAGGATCAAAGACAGATCAGGCACCAGAGTGACCTCGAGTGATCTAAAGGTATAACATCAATTGGCAAGCTAAGCAATAGTGGAGGGACCACCTCGAATGCCCATTCCTGATAATGAACTTGATGTCTATAACCATCCTGGAGCCTTCATCCTGTGACTGATGGAAGCAGAGGCAAACACACAACTAATCACTGAACTGAACCCAAGGAACCCAGTGACAGAGAGAGAGGAGTGATGAGCAAATTGGCAAAGAATGGGCTGGCAAAACCAGCAGAGACAGCTGATCTGAACAGGGGAGAGCTCTTGGACCCCAGACTGACAGTGGGGAGGCCAGCATGGAACTGATCTGGACCCCCCCAAATGTGAGTGTCAGCGAGAAGGCCTGGGCAACCTATGGGGCCCTGAGCTGTGGATCAGTGTCTATCCCTGGTATACAAACTGTCTTCATGTGCCTATAGCACAAAGAGAGATGCTCTCTCAGCCTGGACTCTTAAGGTAGTGCCTTGACCCTACCAAGAGTAAAATGACAGACTCTAGATATCCCCTATATGGAAGGATTTGGCAATAGGTTGGGAGGGAGGGGGGGGAAGGGGAGTACAGGAAGACGGGAGGGAGAGGGAACTGGGATTGACATGTAAAACAAGCTATTTAAAATTAAAATAAAAATGATAAAAAAAATCCCTAACACAAAACTTCCAGGAGATATGGGACACCATGAACAGACTAAACCTAACAATAACGGGTATAGAAGAAGATGAAGAAAACCCCCACAAAGGGGCAGAAAATATATTCAACAAAATCACAGAAGAAAACTTTCCCAACCTAAAGCCAGAAATGCCAATGAAAGTACAAAAAGCCTATAGAACCAAAATAGAGTGAACCACAAAAATGTCCCCTTGCCACAAAAAAATCAACACCACAAATAAAAAAAAAAATTAAGAGAACCTAAGGAAAAGATCAAGTAACACATAAAGGCAAACATATCAGAATTACACCTGACTTCTCCATGGAATCTCTGAAAGCCACAAGGTCTTGGAGAGATATTCTACCAACACTAAGGGACTATGGATACCAGCCCAGAATAATCCACCCAGCCAAGTTCTCAATAACTATAGATGGAGAAAACAAGATATTCAATGACAAAACTAGATTCAAGCAATACGTATCTGTAAGGGGAGAAGCTTTTTCCCTGAGAGAAGCCTTCCCGCCAGCCTGGTTCTAGAGCCACATCAGTCCCAAATAAACACACAGGAGGCTATATTAATTATGAAGCTGTTGGCCTTGCTTATTTCTTACTGGCTAGCTCTGACTTAAGTATTTATCCCATAACTGTTAATCTAAGTATTTCCCTTACCAGAGAACGTTCCAGGCTTCCTACCCCATGGCGGGTAAATCTTGACTTTCTGTGTTCTCCTGTGTTTCTCCTTCCCAGAGTCCTTCTGGACTCCTAGTCCCTCCTATCTTGCTTCCAAATTGTCTCAACAGTGCTTTATTGACGTAACACTTCCCCAATTGAGAATTCCATGTCCCTTCTCCCTACTATTGACATTAGAGGATAGCTTACACCTGCCAATGCTAATCTGCAATTAGGATTATGGCTTAGTTATCGCCCTCTACATATGTGTGTTGTATATGTTTGAGTTTGTATCAAATTTAGGTCTTCTGTTTAGACTAGGAGGGGAATTGTAGGAGTGAACTCCACAGAGCTGTCCGCCCTGATTGGCGGGGTCAAGGTAGAGATGGAGGGAAGTGGATGGAAAGGGGGCTTCCCTTTTTTCTCCTGGAAGCCAGCCATGCTTCTATCTCCTGGTCTGTGCTACTCTCTCCCTCTCTCTCTGGCAAATAAATATATTGATTTTGTTATATAGCATCGAATATCGTTATACGTATCCACTAACCCAGCACAACAGAACGTTCTGCTGCATACAAGAAACACACATCATCCTCAAAGACAGATATTACCTCAGAGTTAAAGGTTGGGAAAAGATTTTCCAATCACATGGACCCAAGAAACAAGTAGGGGTAGCAATCCTAATATCTAACAAATTAGACTTTAAAATAAAATCAAAGTAGATGAAGGAGATCATTATACACTCAACACAGGAGAAATCCACCATGATGAAGTTTCAGTTCTGAAAATCTATGCCCCAAATACAAAGACATCCACATTTGTAACAGAAACATTACTAAAACTCAAATCACCCATAACCCACACACTTATATTTGGAGACTTCAACACCCTAATATCACCACTAGACAGGAATACCAGACAGAACATTAACAAAGAAACAAAGGGGCTACTAGAAGTTATGATCCAATTGTGATTAACAGACATCTATAGAACATTCCATCCAAATAAAAAAGAATATACCTTATTCTCAGTGCCACATGGAATCATATCAAAAATAGACCACATACTTGGCAGCATATCAAACCTCAACAGGAACAAAAAATTGGAATAACCCCCTGTATCTTACAAGACCACAATGCGTTAAAATTAGAATTAAACAAGAATACACATTGCTGAATTCCTTCAAACAAATGGAAATTGAATAATACACAATTGCACCATTCCTGGGTCAAAGAAGAAATAAAAAAAGAAATTAAAGACTTCCTAGTATTCAATGAGAATGAGGACTCAACATGCAAACCTATGGGACACTTTGAAAGCCATGCTACGAGGGAAGTTCATAGCTCTAAGTGCTCACATGAAGAAAATGGAGAATAGTTACACTAGAGAACTAACAGCACAGCAGAAAGTTCTAGAACACAAAGAAGCAAACTCATTCAGGAGGAGTAGATGCCAGGAAATAATCAAATTGAGGGTTGCAGTCTATAAAGCAGAAACTAGGAAAACAATACAAAGAATCAATGAAACAAAGAGTTGGTTCTTTGAGAAAATCGGCAAGAAAAGAAAAACCATTTTCCAAACTTACCAAACGACCGAGAATGGACATGCAAATTAACAAAATCAAAAACGAAAAGGGAGACACAACAATGGACTATGAGAATTATCAGGTCATACTTTGAAAACCTGTACTCCATAAAATTTGTATTTCTAAAGGAATTAGACAATTGTCTGGATAGATATCAATAGTCAAATTTAAATTAAGAACAGATAAGCAATTTAAATAGACCTATAACCCCTATGAAAATAGAAGCCGTAATCAAAAGTCTCCTAACCAAAAAAAGCCCAGGTCCAGATGGCCTCAGTGCAGAATTCTACCAGAAACACAAAGAACAGCTTATACCAATTCTTCTCAAAGTGTTCCACACAATAGAAGCAGAAACTCTTTCTACAAGGCTTCAATAACCTTGTTCCCCAAGCCACACAAAGACACAACTAAGAAAGAGAACTTCAGACCAATATCCCTCATGAACATTGATGCAAAAATACTCAATAAAATATTGGCAAATCAGATCCGAAAACACGTCAAAACCATCATTCACCACAATCAAGTAGGTTTCATCCCAGGGATGCAGGAATGGTTCAATATAGGAAACTTCATCAATGTAATCCACCATACAAACAAGTTGAGAAACAAAAATCACATGATCATATCACTAGATGCAGAAAAACCTGCTATGTGTGTCCTGATCAGGGAATGCATTCACCCCCTTGAGATGACAAAACCTTAACCAGGTTCACCAGTCTCTTAGGTCAGCTTAGTGTTCCTGATTGTGTTGTCGTTTTCTTTGGTGTGGCTCTTTTGAAGCTGATAATTCCATTTATCCGAGGCTAGCATTGAAGTCCACATACAGGTAATTGTTATGATTAGTGAGACCTGGAGCTAAAGTTCTGTGTCCTTTAAAAGATTGCTGAAATTGTTATATTCAAGAGCTAAGGCACATTGAGCAAGCACTGACCAACACCTCTAATCTTCATTAAAGTTATTTAATTCAAAGTGACTATAGACTTATTAACTGCAGATGAAAAAATTTCTAGAGAGCATAATTTGGCCATGAATCTCAGGAAAGCATGACAATTCCCAGTATTTGAACTCCTAAAGAGTGGATGGAAGCTTTTGTGGCTCCAGGTTGTAAAGTTTTCCAAATAATGGCTATTCTACCCATTTCTTACTTTCAGCCAACAAGTTCCATTGATTGAATCCCAAGCATACGTGGCAGAAGGAAATATCACTTTGCTCTTGAGGATCATGAGAGATATTTAAAGATGGTTGCCAACAAAAGAATCTGGTTCTCGTTTGATTCTGCAATTTCTAATAACCCTGAGCATTAGTATTTACTGGAACATAGATTTTGATTGGTCAAATAACAGAGAGACTTGTTCCCAGAGGTGTTCATCTCCAAGATATCTTAGAGGGATTTATGGCTATGAGAAAGTCAGATAGGGATTAATACACAATACGCGATTTCAAGCTATTCTAGGTTAGTGAATGAAAGCCTCCATGGCTTAGGCAATGAAGGGGAAGTGGGGTATGACTAAATGGGTTTATTCTCTGCATCTTTCTATAGAACCTGTGTATAAGAAGGTCAGAATGAGTTCTCCATCGTCGCTCAAGCTGCTGGCAATAAAAAGTCTGCTGAAAGATGAAGCCTTGTCTCTCTCTGCTCTGAAGACCTTGCCCATGGAACTCTTCCCGCCAGTATTTAAAGTCGCCTTCGATAGCAAACAAAGGAACATCCTGAGGGCCATGGTGGCAGCCTGGCTGTTCAGATGCCTTCCTGTGGGAGCCCTGATGAAGACTTCTGACCTGGAGATTTTGAAGGCTGTGCTGGATGGCCTTGACCTGCTGATTAAGCAGAAGGCTCAACCTAGGTAATTGAGAAAATGCTAGCGTGGACGGGCAGAGTGTGGATGGAGGGAGGTGACTACCGAGTTTAGAATGTGGTCCAAGTTGAATCAGAGCTTTCTTAGAGAAGTGCATTAATGAGAAGGGTCAGTGGTGCATGGAGTGCTGTGCAAATAGATGTAGACACATAGAGAGACTGTACCTCTGCTATTATTCCACCAGACACTAGAATTGGAAAGAGTCTTGGCTTAAAGAATGGATTTGAGAGAAGTAGATATGTGGGGGTTTGGCAGAGTGTACATTGGTAACCCTGTGTTTGACTCACTGTCTTGTCTGACCAACAGGGCTTGCAAACTAGAAGTGCTTGATCTTTGGGATTCCCAGCACAACTTCTGGAAGGTGTGGGCTGGAACAGAGGATGTTGGGTGCTCTCCAGATGTCATTAGTGAGAGGCAATCAGCGGTGCGTCATACCATAAGACGGGGAAAACAGGTTGTGACTGTGAAGATGAACCTTTCCCTCAAGTCCAGGGATCTCTGTAAATCCCTAAAATATTTCCACTGGTGGGCCAAGCAGAGGAAAGATGTGGTGCAGGTGATCTGTGAAAAGCTGGGGTTTGGGGGCCTCACTGTCTATAAGCCCCTCAAACTGCTGGAGGTATTTGAGCAAAGCTCTATACAGGAGTTGGAACTGAATGCACGCTGGGACCTGAGAAAACTTGCGATGTTTGCCGCTGGCCTGGGTCAGATGAGAAATCTTCAGAAACTCTTTATCAATGAAATCTTCACACCTTTGGAGTGGTTTAGGGACCAAGAGAGGAAAGAATGGTGTTTTACAGAGATCATTTTGTAGTTCTCCCAACTCAACAAGCTCAAGAATCTCTATTTGAATGGTGTCTTCTTCCTCCATGGTAGACTGGACCGAGTGCTCAGGTGAGGAGCATACATAGCTTGTTCTGCAGCGCAGAGCACAGCTTTTCCTTGTTACATGAATCATTTGTGCACACCTGGGGCTTCCCATTGACCCCCAGGTGCTCTTTGAGCACAGGTAAGGCCTGAGTAAATGGAAAATGCCTGAGAGTGATTAGGGCCTCAGAGAAGCCCTACAAGCAGGACAGAGTCTGTGCCAGCAAGCTGGGACTCATGGAGACCACTGTTGGCACACACACAGGGATGGCACTAAGTTCCCCTTGGTTTTCCTTCCTTGTTTCCCGCTAATTCATCATCTGATGAGCTTTTCTGCTCGACAGTACAGAGGGAACAGATTTCAGGACAGAAACAGTCAAAATGATGGGCATTTGTTGTATTTTTATTATTTTAATTTTAAATAGCTTGCTTCACATGTTAATCCCAGTTCCCTCTCCCTCCCCTCCTCCCTCACACTCCCACCACCACCCCCACCTCTCTCCTGCTATTGCCACTTCTTTCCACATAGGGGATATCTAGAGGCTGTCATTTCTCTCAGGGCAGGGTCCAGGCACTCCCCTAAATGTCCAGGCTGAGAGAGCATCCCTCTTTTTGTTTTGGACATACGAATTCCATTTGTATGCCAGGGATAAATAGTGATCCACTGCCCAGGGCCCCATAGGTTGCCCAGGCCTCCTCACCATCTCTTACACTCAGGTGGTCTGGATCAGTCCCATGCTGGCTTCCCAGCTGTAAGTCTGGGGTCCAAAATCTCTCCCTGTTCAGATCAGTTGTCTCTGCTGGTTTTGACAGCTCATTCTTTGACAATTTGTTCATCGATCCTCTCTCTCTGACACTGGGCATGTGTTGTTAATTGTCCATCAGGTCGTGTCCTGAGTGTGGACTTCACGATGATCTCAGAATGATTTTAGGACAAACTAGCCTCTTCTACATGGACTTGATTGCCCTTTCTCATCCACTATTATACTTACGGAAGTAAACTCCTTTGTCTTTTTTAGGAACTTGGAGAGTCCTTTAGAGATCCTTGCAATCACTCGCTGCATGCTATCAGAAGCAGATATGATGTATCTTTCCCAGTGTCTAAGCGTCCATCCACTCACACATCTGGACCTGAGTGGATTTTAATGTTGGCTGAAGAAAAAATAAATCATAGAGCAACGGGATTGGGGTCTGGGTACTCTGTCCTCTTCTGTTCTTTTCATTCTTCTTCTTAATAGCTTCAAACAGCCCATGTTTCCCTTGAAATTTAGATTCTTCATTCCTCTCTTCCTGATTTCTGTGATTGCTAACACTCAGCACTGTGTCCTGCTTGTAAGCCTTGGACTGAGGGGCCTTTTTCATCAAAGCTCCTACCCTGTGGCTGTGGCTGTTGACCTTCAAATAAAACCCCCACTATTTGGACATGTTTCAATTTTGTGGCCTATAAGAGCTGCCCAACTTAGGAAGTATTCTTTTTATCCCCTAATTGTAATTTCTGTATTAATATTGGTGTTACTGTCTTTATATCCTTTGTCTGTAAAATCAGATAGAAACATAGGAATTTAATAACACAATTTTTGACTTAATATTCTTTGTTTTTTTACTACAAAATGGATATTAGAAGGACTACAACTGAAACAGGCCAGCTTCCCGGCCTGTGTTCCAGAACCTGCAGATCGCCTGGGAACTGCACAGAGCTCCCAATCCCGGTGGGAGCATCAGGTAAACAGGCCAGCTTCCAGGCCTGTGTTCCAGAGCCTGCAGATCGCCTGGGAACTGCACAGAGCTCCCAATCCCGGCGGGAGCCAAGCACCCCAGACTCCAGATCTTGTCTCCCACCAACGATTCCAGGAAAGGAGAGGAGGCTGGGAGTACAGGGAAGTAGCTGTCCCTCTGGCATCATCAGGTAAACAGGCCAGCTTCCCGGCCTGTGTTCCAGAGCCTGCAGATCACCTGGGAACTGCACAGAGCACCCAAGCCCGGCGGGAGCCAAGCACCCCAGACTCCAGATCTTCTCTCCCACCAAAGAGACCAGGAAACTACAGGAGCCAGGGAGACCAGGGGAGTAGCTGTTCCGGATCAGGTACAACAGGACCCAGCATAGGGTCCAGGGGACCAGGTAGGAGGCTAAGCGCCCCAGATTCCTGTTCTTCTTCTCTACCCATGGACCAGCATTTGGACAAGGCATAGAAGAACCACCAGATTACTGGACTTACTAGCACCAACCAAAAGGGAACTCTGGTCCCCAGACCAGGAAGGGGCTCTTTCTGCACCCACTAAAAGAAGAGATGGGAAAGAGACAATACAAAAACACAGTCAGCAACAGAAAAACAAATATGACACCGCCAGATTCTAGAGACTCCACACCAGCAAGACCCCAATATTCCAACACGAAGGAAGCAGAAGAGAACGACCTTAAAAACACTTTCATGAAAATGATAGAGGCCCTAAAAGAGGATATTGGAAAATCCCTCAAAGAAATGGAAGAAAAAACAAACCAAAAAATGCAAGAAATGGAAGAAAAAACAAACCAAAAAATGCAAGAATTGGAAGAAAAAACAAACCAAAAAAGGCACGAAATGGAAGAAGAAATGAAGCAAAAAAATGCAAGAAATGGAAGAAAAAGCAAAGCAAAAAATGCAAGAATTAGAAGAAGAAACATACCAAATAAGGCAGGAAATGGAAGAAGAAACAAAGCAAAAAATGCAAGAAATGGTAGAAAAAACAAAGCAAACAATGAAAAAATGGAGGAAGAAACAAACCAAAAAAGTCAGGAAATGGAAGAAGAAACAAAGCACAAAATCCAAGAAATGGAACAAAAAGCAAACCAAAAAATGCAAGAAATGGAAGAAAGAACAAACCAAAAAATTCATAAAAGGCAACAAATGGACGAACAGATAAACAGAAACTTGCAAGAAGCAATGCAAACGCTGCAAGGGTTGAAAACTGAAATAGAGACACTAAAAAAAACACAATCTGAAGAAAGGCAGAAAATAGAAAAGCTGGACAAACAGTCAGGCACTACCAATACAAGCATTACCAACAGAATAGAAGAGATGGAAGAGAGAATCTCAAGTGTTGAAGATACATTAGGAGAAATGGATTTATCAACCAAAGAAAACCTTAAATCCAACAAATCCTTAACACAAAACATCCAGGAATTATGGGACACCATGAAAAGACCAAACCTAAGAATAATAGGTATAGAAGAAGGAGAAGAAATCCACCTCAAAGGGGCAGAAGGCATATTCAACAAAATCATAGAAGAAAACTTTCCCAACCTTAAGAAAGACATGCCAATGAAGGTACAAGAAGCCTACAGAACACCAAATAGAGTGGACCACAAAAAAATCCCCTCGCCACATAATAATCAAGACCCCAAACATACAGAATAAAGAAAGAATATTAAGAGCAGCTAAGGAAAAAGGTCAAGTAACATATAAAGGCAGACCTATCAGAATTACACCTGATTTCTCCATGGAAAATCTGAAAGCCAGAAGGTACTGGATAGATATTCTACCTACACTAAGAGACCATGGATGCCAGCCCAGACTACTATACCCGGCAAAGCTCTCAATCACTATAGACGGAGAAAACAAGATATTCCATGACAAAACTAGATTCAACCAATATGTGTCCACTAACCCAGCCCTACAGAAAATTTTGGAAGGAAAACTCCAACCAAAGGAAGCTAACTACAACCAGAAAAACATAAGCATTAGAGAATCCCTCTCTACCAACAGCCAAAAGAACAAAGGGGCGAAATTCCACCCATAATTCCACCAACAACAACCATCGCAAATCGAAGAAGGATGAGCAATCAATGGTCATTAATATCCCTCAATATTAACGGCCTTAACTCACCCATAAAAAGACACAGACTAGCAGAATGGATACGAAGACAGAACCCTTCCTTCTGCTGCATACAAGAAACACACCTCACCCTCAAAGACAGACATTACTTGAGAGTTAAAGGTTGGGAAAAATTTTTCAATCAAATGGACCCAAGAAACAAGCAGGGGTAGCAATCCTAATATCTAACAAACTAGACTTTAAAATAAAATCAATCAAAAGAGATGAAGGAGGTCATTACATACTCATCACAGGTGAAACCCACCAAGACGAAGTGTCTATCCTGAACATCTATGCCCCCAATACAAAGGCATCCACATTCGTTAAAGAAACATTATTAGAACTTAAATCTCATCTAAAGCCCCACACAGTTATAGTGGGAGATTTCAACACACCACTCTCACCACTAGACAAGAATACCAGACAGGAACTCAACAAAGAAGCAAAGGGTCTAATAGAAGTAATGACCCAACTGGGATTAACAGATATCTATAGAACATTTCATCCACATAAAAAAGAATATATCTTCTTCTCACCACCACATGGAACCTTCTCAAAAATCGACCACATACTTGGCAACATATCAAACCTCAGCAGCTACAAAAAAATTGGAATAACTCCATGCATCTTATCAGACCACCATGCCTTAAAATTAGAATTCAACAACAACTCAAATTGCAGAAAACCTACAAACTCATGGAAATTGAATAATGCTCAACTGCACCATCCCTGGGTCAAAGAGGAAATAAAAAAAGAAATTAAATACTTCCTCGAATTCAATGAGAATGAAGACACAACATACCCAAACCTATGGGACACTTTGAAAGCAGTGCTACGGGGGAAGTTCATAGCACTAAGTGCTCACATGAAGAAACAGGAAAACAGTTATACCAGAGAATTAACATCACAGCTAAAAGCTCTAGAACACAAAGAAGCAAACTCCCCCAGGAGGAGTAGACGCCAGGAAATAATCAAATTGAGGGCTGAAATCAACAAAGTAGAAACCAGGAAAACAATACAAAGAATCAATGCAACGAAGAGTTGGTTCTTTGAGAAAATCAACAAGATAGACAAACCTTTGTCCAAACTTACCAAACAGCAGAGAGTGAACACGCAAACTAACAAAATCAGAAATGAAAAGGGGGACATAACAACAGACTCTGAGGAAATCCAGAGAATCATTAGGTCATACTTTGAAAACCTGTACTCCACAAAATTCGAAAATTAAAAGGAAATGGATGACTTCCTGGACAGCTATCATTTGCCAAAACTAAATCAAGAACAGATAAGCAATTTAAATAGACCTATAACCCCTATGGAAATAGAAGCTGTCATCAAAAGTCTCCCAACCAAAAAAAGTCCAGGTCCAGATGGCCTCAGTGCAGAATTCTACCACAAATTCAAAGAACAGCTTATACCAATTCTTCTCAAAGTGTTCCACACAATAGAAGCAGAAGGGTCTTTGCCAAACTCTTTCTATGAGGCTTCAATAACCTTGATCCCCAAGCCACACAAAGATACAACCAAGAAAGAGAACTTCAGACCAATATCCCTCATGAACATTGATGCAAAAATACTCAATAAAATACTGGCAAATCGGATCCAAGAACACATCAAAACAATCATTCACCACGATCAAGTAGGTTTCATCCCAGGGATGCAGGGATGGTTCAACATACAAAAATCCATCAACGTAATCCACCATATAAACAAGCTGAAAAACAAAAATCACATGATCATCTCACTAGATGCTGAAAAAGCCTTTGACAAAATCCAACACCCCTTCATGATAAAGGTCTTGGAGAAATCTGGGGTAACAGGGACATACTTAAACATAATAAAAGCCATATACAGTAAACCAACAGCCAACATCAAACTAAATGGACAGAAACTCAACGCAATTCCTCTAAAATCAGGAACAAAACAAGGCTGTCCACTCTCTCCATACCTTTTCAACATGGTACTTGAATTTCTAGCTATAGCCATACGACAACAAAGGGGGATCAAGGGGATACAAATTGGGAAGGAAGAAGTCAAACTTTCACTGTTTGCAGACGATATGATAGTTTACATCAATGACCCAAAGAACTCTACCAGGGAACTCTTACAGCTGATTAACACCTTCAGCAAAGTGGCAGGTTACAAGATCAACTCAAGAAAGTCAGTAGCCCTACTATATACAGATGATAAAAGGGCTGAAAGAGAAATCAGAGAAACATCACCCTTTACAATTGCCACAAACAACATAAAATACCTTGGGGTAACGCTAACCAAACAAGTGAAAGACCTGTATC